CCCAGTTTTCCCAGCACCACTTGCTGAACAAATTTTCTTTGTTCCATTGTATCTTCTTTGCTCCTTTGTCAAAAGTTAGGTGTCCATAAACTCGTGGGTTTATATCTGGGTTTTCTATTTGAATCCACTGGTCTGAATGTCTATTCTTATTCCAGTACCATGCAGTTTTGATTATTATGGCTTTGTAGTACAGCTTGAAGTTTGGGATTGTAATGAGAGGCATGTGAATTTTTAAAGGTTGTAATGTATTTAATTCACTTACTTATTCCACAGTTGCTAAATATCAATATTCCTACAGTCACAACAATATCAACACCTGCTAAGTACAGGTACACACAGAGACAATTATTTCCTGAGAATAATAAAGAGGTTTTGCCTTTAAAAAAAGACTTCGGTGACTAAGGTATAACTGTAGCTCCAACATGTTCCCCTCGCCCCCCCCCCACCACCACACAGGGAATCTGGGGGAGACTGGCAGGGCCTCAGGGCTGCCTTGGCTACCCACAAGGGTTAGTCATTGGCAGTTAAGGACCCTAACCACTTCTGACTTAGGTCCATAAATACAAAGGTCCTACTCAAAAGGGTCCCACTGAGGCTATAGCTCTGAAACTGGTTCATTGTCTTGATGTCTCCTCAGTTATTAAAATTCCCATCTGGTGGCTGGTGCATCGCCACCAGCATCGCCACCAGCCACCAACGGTTCTCAAACTTAGTTTCTCAGATTTGTCCTAGACATGCACTTCAAAGCATCTGTAAGTGCCACACATGTTGGTTTAAATGTGTTTCCACTTTGACAGTAATTGGCAAGTCAGTCCAGTGCTTTCAGGCTCACTTGGACAAGCCACCTTACAGTCGTTGGCTCTCAGGACCAGCAGGCTCGCCTGTAAGTTGCCCCTAGTGTAAGGACACCGCCCAAAGAAACTGAACCAGAGCTTCTCAAAGCACCAGTAGACTGCACACACTGCCAGGTGGCTTGGGTTGTATTTTGACTTCAAATGTCTACATGAGCAAGGGAAGCGTGGCCCAGAGATAGAAAGTGTAGCAAGCAAGATCACAGAGCTACTAAGCAGTAGACAAAACTAGAAAGTAAGATAATGTTAGGCCCCCAGGCCCCTCTGTATGGGTCTCAGACTCACCCTGGGCCCAGAAAGGAGGGCAGGCAGATAGCATTCCTGGTGTAGCTCCTGGAACTGGCTGAAACTAAACCCTGATATCAGCTCCTGACTCATGACTGAGATGTCTGTTCTTAGAAACCCGCCCTTGAGTGCTGTGTAGCTTGTTACTCTTTGAATGTGCATGGCTATGACGTATGTAAGGGCCTATAAGGGCCTATATATTCTCTGACAATCCTGTGGTCTGGGTCTTGCTCTCCCTGTGTGGCCTGCCTGTCTGCAGGAAGGCTTGACCCCAGCTAGCTGGCTTAATAAACTCTGCTTGCTTGTGCATCTCTGGCCCTGTTCTTTTTCATGGGGGACAACTGGGTGATTTCAGACCCTAACACTTCCTAGCCCGGCCTCAATTACCCCGCTCACTAGCCGGTAACACCGAGCACAGCGAGGGGAGAGGAGAAGGTGGGCGGGAGAAGGGCAGACGGGGGATGGGGGGTGGAGGCCTTGTTCTCACAGCGGTCATTGCCAGGCCCTCCCGGCAGCTCCGGGTCCCCGCCCCCCAAGGGTCTCCTCCCCTGGGGCCCATCTCGCCCCACTGCAGTCCTTCACCACCATTGCAGACGCCCACCCCTGCAGCTTATGGCCCTCCCTCCCACAAACCCGCAGGCACTAAGCCACGGAGAAAGCCAGTAGCCCGTCCGCCTAGCCCTACGTCTAACGGGGAATAACGGCGCGCGGCGCATGCGCCACACTCGGCCGGCGCGGTAGTGACGTCACTCGAGGCGCCATCTACACACTCCCTGCGCCCGCGACTCGGGCAGTTCGTTGGAGTGTGCCCGTCTGTCGCCTTCGCGCACCGTGCGGCCTCGCGCACTGGGAACCTCTCCTCTGCAAACTCTGAGAGCCTCGCTGGTGGTCCGGCGTTACTGACAGAAGTGAAGGGAGGGGAAGCTCGCGGGACACCTGAAGGAGACGTCATCAGAGGGCACCGGAAGCGGCGCAAGAATGAAAAGTAAGCGAGGCTGAAACTACGAGACTGGAGAGGGTGGGCTATTGATGGTCGGGGGTCAGACTGACGGGTGCCCCGGGCGGCTAACTGAGCGGACACGGTAGTTGCCCCCCTTTGCGTAAGTGAAACGGAGGCCCAGGGACCGAGAGCCCGATGAATCTCAAAGCTAAGGCGTGAAATCAGTCCTGGAGACTACTTGGGTCTCGATAGGCGGTCTCATCTCCGGGGTGGATGGTGCTGGGGCGGGCCCAGCGCTAACCCGGCTTGACCACTATCTTCCCAGTGATCGTGGTTTCCTCTTCTGTAAGGTAATGATAATGATAATTTGCCCAGCCTGCTCTTCTGCGGACGACTTTTGTCTGGTTAAAGCGCTAGGAGCTGTTGGGGAATGATTTCACTAACCCATGGCCTTGTCAGTGAGTGGAGGAGCGGGGAGCAGAGCTTCACGGTAGTCATAACAACCGTGTAGACTCAGTTAAGGCCATCACAATTTGAGTTCCATTCCTGGCACACACCCTGCCAGATGTCAAATCAAGTTGTATGTCACAGCATAGCTGAGCTTCAATTTTCACCTATACGTAATAGGAATCATAACTGCTTTGAAGACTTGTTCAGGGTTGGGATAAAATATATATAATTTTTAATCAGGTGCATGGCAAGTAATGAATGCTCAATATTTTTTGATATCTATTAATAAAAAGACTTCCAAGTCTAATGCTAAGCACCGCTGACAAATGAAGCACAGTCATTCCAGGTGTCCAGGCCCTGCTATTTATTCTCTACCAATAGTTTGAATTCCCACAACCATTTGAGGGAGAACTAGACTCCCTACTTGTTCAGATGTGCTCCAGGAAGAACAAGGGATCAGAGGTGGAATGTACAGAGTATAGTGTGAGCTGATTTTTCTAGTCTTTTGGTTCATATTCCATTCACACCCATACTCTGTCCCCAGTGCCACTGTTTTCTTCTCCAGACAAATAAGTAGCAACAGTGTGGAAGTTTTTAGAAGTTAAAACTACATTGAGGCCCTTCCTGGTAGCACAGCAGGTTAAAACACAGCACTAAGAAGCTAAAGCCATTTTAGCACCAGTTCGGTCCCCATCCCAGAGGTGACCACACGGCACAGCAGACCTCTCCTGACCCACCCACTGCTCCCCTCAGCAGTGTATTTCTCAGTCAGCCTGTTCTGTTCCCCACTCTGTCTCTGGTGAATCCTCCACTGCCCTTGCACCTCTGCCCTGTATTCCAGTTCTGTGTTCAGTATGCATAAATAAGTAAATCTTTATATAAAAAACTACATTGATTGATGTATATTTTCAGTTTGGAAAAAGTTCTGCTGTATTTTATCAGTTAGAACAGCATCAATTGTACGGCACCTCCTAACTTAGATACTAAAATGAAGGAAATCATCTTTTTAAAATATCTTAGTCAGCAAACTAATATTTCCAACTGTTTGCATCTTGGAAAGCTCTGTCACATAAATTTCAAGTGAGTTACTTCATTAGACTTATTGAGCAACTGGTCAGGTTTCTAGCATGTGGCATTAAAAATCTCTAACTCCAAGCCGGTGATAGAAATGCAGGATCTGGGAATCTGCCCAAGAACCTCCATTTTGATAAGATTCCTGAGATTTTCACACATATTAAAGTTTGGGAAGCACTGTTTTAAAGCACACACCCTTGGAACTACCTGGATAGATGTGACTGGAGAACCAGAGAAGAGACACCCAGGAAAACTAAAGCTGTGCTCTTTGTACATCCGGTGTTCTCTTAGTCCAGAATGTGTATTTTACATTGATAGTTTAGACAGTCTTGGGTCTCTGACCATGCCCAGCAGGAACTGATCATCTTGTTTTGCTCTCTTTCAATTCCCCAGATGTGGTCTACCATGCCTTATCCCAGCAAGAGACACAGGAGTTCGATGTTAAGGTACAGTGCGGGCAGGAGGTCTGGGAGCCCCAGGGGCGATGGACCAGTGGCTGTTGAGCCTTTGGTGTCGCTTTAGATGTTCTCTCCCGTGTCCTGCTCCTCATCTTCCTAGCAAGCTTTTATTTTTTTAAATTTATTTATTTATGTATAAATACTGGGGTACAGGCCAGAGGTGCAGGGGCGGTGAGAGGCTTCACCAGAGACAGAGTGGGGAGCCGACTGCTGAGGGGATCAGCAAGCGGGCCAGGAGAGGTCTGCTGCACCATGTGGTCACGTCCGGAGCGGGGATCGAATTCATGCTGAAGTGGCTTTAGCTTCTTAGTGCTGTGTTTTAACCTGCTGCGCCATCAGGGAGGGCCTTTTCCTCCCCCACCCCCTCAGCAGATTTTTTAGGACTCAGTCAAGACCTATTCTCATGGCCTGTTTCCCTGTCCTGGACTCCTGCCTATTGTGCCAAAGTGGAACTTGGTTACCTGAGACTTTCTGATCTGTGTCATCTCCCCTGTATATGGGCCTGTGCCACATGAAGCCTGCCCTGCTTATCATGCCATGTGATCTCAACACTGCTCAGTCCTGAGGCTGCAAACGTGCCTTGCCATAGGGCAGAAATCCCACTGGTGACTTTCAGCAGGGACAATATCTTAAAGTCTAGGTGAAGGAAAAACTTGATTTGGCTTCTCCGTGAAAGAGAAGCCACTTAGGTATTTAATGGGGAGCCTGTTCTGCTCCCCACTCTGTCTCTGGTGAAGCCTCTCACTAGTAATAATACTGGCAGTGATGATTTGGCGTTCCAACATAGAAAGCTGGAACCAGCTACCCGCTTATTGTGAGCAGCCATGAAGATTATGTGATCGCATCTTTACCTCCCTCCCCAGCTTCTCTGAGGAAGGGGAGCACCTGCTCACTGTTGACAGGCTGGCCTCAAAGTGTTTACAGCCTGGTTAGTGCAGCATGGGTCAGGAAGTGGCCAGCTGCACACCAGGAAAGTGCTAGCTGGGCTGTGGCAGAACTCGCCAGCCCCAGAGTCAGTGGCACTTGGCGTTCTCTTCGGAGTCACGCACCGTCATGACAGGTGTTTGCTCAGAAGGGCCCCTCTGAGGGCGTGTGTGCAGGCATGGACACGCAGTACGTCACTGTGTGGAGCGCCGCTGGGGTGCTCTAGACAGCGCTTTACCCAGTGATGCAGGTGCAGACGTGGAGAGTGGCCACATCGCACCCCCAGGACTGGATACCAGGTCAAAGGATCGTCAGGTAGACACAGTGTCCGAGTTTCTGCCCTGAGGCTCAGCCCCCCACCGGGCACTGTCACGCCGCTCTCCTTGACTGGGAGCGCTCCCTCCAAGGCTGCAGCCGGAGTCTGCTCTGAGCTCGCCTTCGGCTGGTCATTTCCGATGAAATGTTGTTATACATTCCTCAGCTTTCCTGCCTGCCAAAAATGAGCGACATCTTTGCTTCTAAATATGAAGTTGTGGGGCTTTTTAATATCCTAATCGGAAACAGGACAGAAAGCTGGGGTTTGACCTAGCTGGTTTACGTGACAGTCATGAATTGGCATTTAATAGTGACTTCACATCTGGACCGCTGTGCTGGTAAACCCTGGCTATGAGAGAATGTCTGAGCCTCAGGCGGTAGAGAGGTGGGTTGGCAAAGACAGCCATCTGCTGCTGCAGTGCTGAGGGGAGCCTGGGGTCCCCGGCTGCCCACCCAGAGCAGTGAACACTGTGCTGCCTATCCCCACACAGCACCCAGGAACCCAGCGGGCTGAAGCCTTCGTGAAGGCCTTCCTGAAGCGCAGCTTGCCCCACATGAGCGAGCAAGCCCGTGAGGACCAGCTGCAACGCAAGGCTGTCGTCCTGGAGTACTTCACACGCCGGAAGCGAAAGGAGAAGAGAAAGAAAGCCAAAGGCCTCTCCGCCAGGCAGAGACGCGAGCTGCGGCTCTTTGAAATTAAACCAGAGCAGCAGAGGTGAGTTGGCCCACCTGCCCTCCTCCCCCAACGCTGACTCCTGGTAGGAGAGGGCTTGAGACCCCTGCGGGCAGCGGCTGGCATGCCCCTGCGGGTCTTCCCGCTTCGGCCACAAGGGGGCAGCCTGTCTTTACCGTTCGGCGGTTTGGGTTTGGTTTTTAACAGCAAGGCGCAGTGAGACTCGTTTGGCTTCTGTCCTAGCCTTAACTAATAAGACCGGTGCCATAAATGAGTCTGTTGCCCATGGCAACAGGCTGTTTTGTCTTTCAGCTTTCTTAGAAAAAGGGGAACTGATATTTCTCAATATATATCGCTTTGTAGCTTTTAATAGCATTAGACAGAATCACCCAGCGGGCTTCTGTTGCCAAAGTACGTGCTGCCCACATGTTTCGGAAGTTTCTGAAAGGGACACATCCTTCTCTGTGGGAGGGTGTGTTCCTCCCCGGCTGACACTCCATCCTTCTTGGCATTTACATTTCTTAGTACTGTTTTGTAGGCTTTTCTTCAAGATCTGCCAAAGAGCCTCCCACATTCCATGAGGCAAGTGAGGTCTGTCGCTTTGTGTGGCCCCTCTTGCGAACCAGCTGGGCTTTGGAGGGAGGGGCGGCCTGGGCCCAGGCTTGCTTGCTGTGAGCGCCACCAGTACAGCTCTCTTGGGTTTGAGCTGGAGGCTCTCATTTCTGTAACCGGCAGCTTCATGTAAGTAGATTGATGCTCCACAAGACACCAGGAGTGTGAAAGTGGCCCCATAAAGCTCTGCGACCCTCTCACGCTGTCCCCTCACCCTACCACCTGCTCACTCCCTCCCAGACAGAACTGCTGCCTTACATGAGGACTTGCTTCAGGAGCCAGCCTTCCTTAGGGGCTCTACTTCCTGTAGTAAAACCTCCCCCAAACAGTGGCCTGATCATGATTGCCATTTACGTCCCTCTGTGAGAAGCCCAGCTGGGCTGGCAGGCAGCTCCACAGCCATCAGAGCCCTGGGCGGTGAGCTCCGGGATGCCTCCTCGAGGCTCCGCCACCTCAGGCGCTGCCTGTGGCCTGATGTCTGCTGGAATTCCAGCTGTCCCGGCTCAGTCTGCCCGCCAGGGAGAATGAAGGGGCAAAGGGAAGAAACCCCCTCCTCGTTAGTGAAACGTCGCTTTTTGAGGTTCCACCAGTGAGGAAGCTGAGGTTCAGGGACTGAAGGCCCTTTGCGTCCCAGTGAAGCTAGACTTCACCTGGCTCCCGCGACCCCAGGTCCAGTCCTTGGCGCTGTGCTCTGTGGCCCTTGAGCCCTGCCTCACATAGCCTTATTTTACCTGTTTCTGACTCTGCCACAGATACAGTCTTTTTCTCCCTCTGCATGAACTTTGGAAGCAGTACATCCGGGACCTGTGCAATGGCCTCAAGCCAGACACGTAAGTTGCATTTCTGAGGCTTTGTCCTTAAAGGCAGAACTCAAGTCTCATGGTCTCATGATCATTACAAATGTGGTTTCAGGAGCCACCAGTCTGGCTCGCTCACACTCTGCCATGGTCTACATTTAGGGCTTTGTTTACCTTCCAGGCAGCCGCAGATGATTCAGTCCAAGCTTCTGAAGGCCGACCTTCACGGCGCCATGGTTTCAGGTAACCTGCTCAGTGCTCGTGGGCGTCTGGGTGCCGCTGCCACTTTGGACCACTGGCTGAGCACTGACTGGTTTCCGTGCAGGGCCTGCTGGCATCGCAGGGTGCAGCGGCTGCTGGCACTCGCCCTCATCCAGAATCTTGACCAGTTCCCAGTGATTGCTTCCAAGTCGTCGTCTCTGGTGCAGACCCCTCCCCGGAGCCCCTGACCCCTTCATCCCACTGTCCGCGGACGCCACCACCTGGAGCCGTTGGGTCGGTGGTGTCGCAGGCTGACTTGCCCAGAGCACATCCCTGCCTCCACTCACAGCAGCCTCCCGAGTCCCAGGTCATGGCACCAGTTGACCGTGGTTGTTTGGCCCAAAAACCTAGGCGGTATCTGCATCCCTTTCCTGCCTCCTCGTCTCCGATCCCTGAGCACCACCCGCATCTGGGTCTCCGCCAACACCAGCCCCCGGGAGGCGGATGCTCCCAGCCGCCCCGCTGCGCCCTGTCAGTGTGTCCTTGGGCCTCCTGACCGTGGCCAGAGGCTTCTCCAGCTTCCAGGCGCTAAGTCTAAGCACATGCCGGCACTGCCCCAACTCAGGGCCTTTGCATGTGCCCTTCTGCCTAGAGAGTTCTGTGTGGCCGTGGCTGGCCGTGATTCAGACCCCTGCTTAGATGTCATTTCCGCGGTCACTAAAGTGACCCTGCCCCTCTGTCCTCCCCTGATTCTCTTTACAGCATTTATCACTACCAGGAAATGCAAGCTGTCGGTACTTTCAGAACTCCAGCTCCATGAGAGCAGGCCCCAGGACGGCCTCGTTCACTGCTGTGCCCAGAGCCACCTGGGGTGGCCCAGGCACAGGACAGGGGCCTGTGCCCGCTGGCTACACTGTGCCAGTCACGCTGGTGGCCTGCGTTATGATCCCACTCCAGTCAGAACAAGGGGGCTGCCTGACAAACAGTGTCCATTCTGAGCCTGGGAAGTGGTGTGGCCCAGCGTCCACCCAGACCCGCAGCCTCAGGCCTCCAGAGGACACTGCTGCCGTCAGAGCACACGGGCTGCCAGGGTCAGCAAGCCTGATTCTTGCCTAGCGCGGCCCCTGCCCCCTGCGTGTCCTGTCTTCCCCTGATGGCTCAAGGGTGGGGAACCCCCACAGGCCTGTTTGCGACTTTTCCCACACCGCAGAGGCCTGAGCCTTGGGCTCCTTTCTCCTTTGCAGTCACAAAATCCAAGTGCCCCTCCTATGTGGGAGTCACGGGAATCCTCCTCCAGGAAACAAAGCATGTTTTCAAGATTATCACCAAAGAAGACCGGCTAAAAGGTGGGAGCAGTCCCCGGGGTCGCGGCAGGGTGTCTCATGCCTCTGAAGTTCACTTTGGCCTCGCAAGTCAGCACCTGTTGCAGGCAGCTGCTCGCCCCGCTCACCCCACAGCCTGCAGACTCCGCCCCTGCCCCATCCTCTCCCAGGCGTCCCCAGCCCAGCCAGCAGCCCTGGGCACTCGCGGGGCTGCGCCTCCAGCCCTCGGGCCGACTCCACATGGGGCCTTCCCGCACCCAAAGGCTGCTGCCTCCCAGAGGAATGTAGTAAACATCGGGGGCTGGGGGGCCAAGTCGCACCTGCCCCGGGATGCTGAGAGCTGTGCCCCCGGTGGGACTCTTTGGGCTCCGGAAAGTGAGTACAAGCCCATCAGTCAGAAAGCCCACCCCCGGCCATGCCCAAAAGCCACAGTTACAGGTTTTTGTTCCTGTAATAGTCAAGTTGGGCTTTGGCTGCTTCCTTCCACGTAATTTCCCTGTACATTCTGCTCTCATTGTGAACCTCAGGAAGTGCTGACCGAGTTTCCCACTGGGCATAAAACCAGGGGTTCATCTGAAAGTTATGTGGGGAAACCTGTTTCTGGAAGTTTGCTGTGCAGCCTTTGGCCCGAGAGTCGGGTGTTCCGTTTCAGGCGAGAGTCGGGTGTTCCGTTTCAGGCGCGGCCCCCTGGCACAGGAGCCTGGAGTCCTGGGGCCGCCTCTGTGCGCTCCAGCTCGCACCAGCTTATTTTAACATGCACTTGTTAGGAATGACATCTGCGGAAAAATCATCCAGGATTTTCTTCCTCAGCCTTTTTCTCTTGCCTTTTTTCAGTTATCCCCAAACTAAACTGTGTGTTCACCGTGGAAATCGAGGGCTTCACTTCCTACATTTACGGGAGCAAATTCCAGCTCCGGTCCAGTGAGCGGTCTGCGAAGAAGTTCAAAGCAAAGGGAACCATTGATCTGTGAGCTCCTGCCAACCGTCCGGGGGCCCAGACACCCACCCTTCAGCAAGGGGCGAGCAGCCGGGACATGCAGTCACCGGGAAGTCAGTGCTGAGCCCGGGGGTCCGGGCAGCCGGGTCTGTGGTGGCTTCTGTGTTCCTCGCACGGCGCAAACAGCAGGGACTGTCAGGTTCTCAGTTCTGCGCGGTACTTTCTGTTTCTGAATGTCCTGTGACGAAGCCCTTGTTCACGTCATAATGAAATACACGTGTCGAAATAAACACCTCTGCGGGAAGAAATGTCTCCTGCAGTGCAGGTGGGTGGAAGGGAAGGGAAACCCCAGGTGGTGCTTGTGTCAGAGAAGCGGGTGGGCGTGTGTGGTGGCTGAAGGTCCTGACTTTGGGGAAGGAAAGAATTGTCACGGAGTCAGTGTAGGTGAGTTAGGAGTGAAGCTGCTTTGCAGGTGAGAGGCGGGGTGGGGGCGGGGTCAGGGCAGGATGGCGCCTGGGGCCTGGGGCTGCTGGTGTCAGCGCTTGCTTAGTTTGCCGGGGCCGGGTCTACAGGTGGGATTCTCGGCCCTCTGCGCCTTCACACCTGATGGTGAAGTAAGGTGGAGTTCTGCAGCCTCGTGTCCCGCCTTACTCTGGAGAATGCGGAGGCTTTTTCCCTGTGCCTGGAGGGGCAAGAGGGGGCTGCAGCTTCCATACTAATTCCCGCTCCTCCTCGCCACCCAGACCCCTCTCCTAGATTGGCCAAGTCCTGGAGCTGCGCCTGCAAGTCAAGGGCACATTGCTTCTGTGGCGCCTGCCTGTGAATCTGATGGGCGGTGGCCCTCTGCCTAGCGAGGGCTTTCTTTGCTATTTCAAGAGAGTTGAGGGAGAGTTAGTGGTGAAGTTGCTAGGCCTCGCCTGGCAGACCCGGAGCGGGGTGGGGCACCGCTGTGCTCAGTGGTTGCTCCTGTATAGCTCAGCCCCTGATGCGCTCCTTCCAGAAAGGGTTAGGCTCCAGAGAAAGGCGCTACAGGAAAGATAAACTGCAGCCCTTCCTGGGTCTGACCCGCTGGGAAGCCAGAGCTCCAGCAGTGGGCCCGACCTCTTCTTTCCGCTTCTGCTGCGAAAGGCATGGCTCTTCTGCCTCCCAGTCCTGTATGTGCTGTGTCCCAGGCCAGCCCACAGGGCCTCTCCAGGCAGGGCCCGGTAAAAACCCACCAAGACCCGCCTTCCAGGGACTCGGCATCCCAAATGCCCAAAAACAGATGACTGGATCAAGAAGCTGTGGAATATTACTCAGCAATCAAAAAGATAAACTCGAGCCATTTGTGGCAACATGGATGGAGCTAGAAGAGGCCATGCTTAGTGAAATAAGCCAGAAAGGAAAATAAAAATACTGAGTGATTTTCACTCATAGCAGGAGTGTATGGGATCAGGAAAAACAAAAATATATATATATACATATATATATAAATATATATAGTAATACATAAATATATATATAGTAATTGTATTTAGCAATTGTAATAAAGTAAAAAAGAACATCAGCTAACACCAGTAAACCAGAGACATTCTACAGGGGTAGAGAGGGGAACAGGCTCAAAACCGGAGGGAAGACCACAAGGGACTGAGGAGATGGCACATGGGTGAAGTGGTGGGAAGTCCGCAGGGATTACAACCGAGATGAGAGCATGCACAAAATGAAGAATGTTGTAAAATATAAAATAGAAATTAAGAACATCAGAAAATAGAACATCAGAAAAGCCCCTTTGGCGAGTGAGCGCTTTCTGGCCAGCTCTGAGGGCAGCGCATCCCGGCCAGTTCATGTGCTTTGATTCCCGCCCCCCGCCCCGCCCCAGGGAAGCAGCAGCACCAAAGGCATTGCTTTCTGGTGTTTCCCCCAAGACTCCACCCCAGGGGGCACTGACGTGGAGCAGGACGTGTGAGCACCGGCTACTGCCGGGGAGCCGGAGCCCAGGAGAGCAGGAGCCCAGCTCTGCCACGGCGCCACAGGGCCTGCCCCGCCTGGCCCTGCTCCGTCTGTGGTCAGTCTGCTGCTCCTGGCGACCCCAAGTTGGCGTGACCGCCCTCCCGTGAAGCCCCCGCTGCCTGCGCTGCAGCGCTCACAACCAAGAGGGACAGGGCCGCCCAGCCTGGGTCTCTGCCAGGGCCGCGGCCTTCCTTGTACTGCCCCAAGGGGACTCGCATGCCCGGCCTCGCCCCCAGACAGCGAGACCTGCATCCGGCTCCAGAGCCTCGCTTGCACCGCAGGGCGGCCACCAGGTGAGGCCCCGGCTCTGAAGTCCTCAGGCCCCTCTGAACCTGCCTCCCACTGAGAACCTGCTGTGGCGTCAGCAGCCGCGGTTCTTCGGTGACTGGGAGCACCACGTCGAGCAGCAGAGGTGCCAGAGCATCTAACCACCGGCTCTTGCCACCCTCTGCCATGCAAAAGGCGCCCAATATGTAAATACACAGTTGTTTTCCAGAAAAGTTGTCTTGTGAAATCTGTTTTCCATTTGGCGCAGACTCAAGATCCTGTGAGTGGCTGTTTCATTTGTAGCTTCTCCCCTCTCCCCAAGGGGACTTGGCTCACCTGCCACCGCTGCTGCCGTGCAGCCGCTTCTCTCCCCCAGCTGCCCCCAGCCCACCCACAGGGGCTGGTCATGGTCTGGGGACAGGCAGGCCAGGGCCCACTCTGGGCGAGCGGTCCTGGTGAGACCACACTGACCGCTGCGCAGAATGAGACCTGAGGCCCGAGAATGGCTCAGGCCTGGCCAGTTCCCAGAACCACAGCCTCAGGCTTATCACAGAGCTACCCTCCAGTCCCGCCTCCTGCCCCCACTGCCCAGGGCGCGGGACCCCAGTGGAGCTGGGCTTTGGACCGCGAAGCCTTGAGACCCGGCCAGCTCTGCGCATGTGTGAACCCTGATGAACCTAGAAACCCCGCCTCAGCGAGGCCCAGGGAGCAAGCAGCACCGCTGGCCCTGGGGTATGGCACAGGGTCAGGCGCATCTATTCCCCAAAGAGCGAGCGGGCCCTGCATGGAACCTGAACCCCTTAGCTTTTGCAAGGCCAGCCTGAGGTGCCACAGTGCAGGAAGGAAAGGTGGCAGCGGGGGTCTGGTCAGCACAGTGCTCGCTGGGCCCACATAGCTGTTCTAGTGCAGCTCACACAGGTCATTTTCTGCCCCAAGGTCCAGGTAAGGTGCGCGGGGTTTGTGTCTGTTGAGCGCTCACTGTGCCCACAGCTGGCCTTCCTCGCTGCACACTCGGGGAGAGGGTACTCTGGGTCTCTTCCCTTCTCAAAGCCCTGTGGGGTTAGGGCCCACCGTACTTAGCCTTAGTCACCTCCCTAGAGACCCTGTCTCTGTGCAGCCACATTGGGGGTTGGGCTTTTGCTAAGGTATTTGTGGCATGTATCCCAGACATGGAGTTCCCCAGAAAAGCTCTAATACCAAGCATGGACCCCACCCTCAGACCCTGGGCCAGCTCAGACAGCCCAGCCGCTGTACCCCAAATTCTTCTCCCATTGGGCTTTCTGCCGTGTTCACAGAGGAACTTGGGTGCAGCTGTTAGCTGGGGTTGCCACGTTCCCTTCCATTTCTGCAGACAGCTGAATGTGCTCGCTTCCTGTTGGGGGCAGGCACGGTCTGCTTGGGGGAGGTGAGCAAGGGAGGGTCCCTGGAGGGTCCCTGCTGGCCTCTCGCCGGGTGCTGGTGTGGTCTGGGGTCTCAGTGTCCCCATCTCTCAAGTGGGGCCATGAGACTAAAGCAACCTCCCGAGGGGACCCAGGGGACTTCCCATAGCACAATCAGCAGGAAGCAAGTTCCAGAAGCCGGCAGCAGATACTGGGATATGTCCCCACTCGGGGCCGAGGCCCAGAGAGGTCTGTGTCCCCAGGACCCCAGCTGGCTCACCTATCGTTGATGCCGAGGACTCCAGGTGGTGTCTGAAGTCTTTCAGCTCTGACGTCTGGGCTGCGATAGATTCGGGACTCTTGGGACAGTGTTTTCTGGATGCTGGGAAAGATTGTCAAATGACTGTTCTCTCAGGTTCTGAAGAGTAAACACGAACAGTCCCCCCCAAAGCTATAAATTACAGTAAAAAGCCTTCTTCCTGGACAATGGCTTAAGTTCTCATTTCGTTTGCATTTCTTAGCTATAATGCCTAATTAAGACATCTGTTAAATGTCTATAATATTAATTTAATAGAGGGGGTGCTAATAGAACAGTATTGGAATTGTCCATTTAATTAACCTCATAGGCCTTTAATGGATGTCTTAAATAGACATCATTAACAAGAGTGCTAGACAAATTAAAATCAGAGTCAATAACGTTCTTGGTAATTTTTCCTGAGCTGTGAAGGACGAGCGCTGCGAAGCAGACAGCCTGGTGGTGGACTGGAGGGTGGGGTGCTGGGCTCCCCTCGGGGCTCAGTCCTGTTCTTCCCGGTCGGCTGCCCGCTGAGCTGAGCGGAGTTCTCCAGCCACAGGGCGGCTCTCAGGCGCACAGGCCTGCCTCTCCCACGCCCTTTGACCAGGAAAGTTTGCCAGCCTGCTCCTTCACGGGGGGCTCGGGAAGAGAAGAAGGGGCGTCGAGGAAGGAAGATGGCGGAGGCGAGGGGCCCTTCCCACAGCTGGCCACTAAATGCCAGGGGGCAGTGCGGCTCAGGGAGAGGGAAGGGAGGCGGCCAGGCTGGACAGCTGGGCAGCGAGGTGGAGCGGGTGTGCGGGGTGAAACAGAAAACTGGCGGGGGCCCTGACCCCACAGAACATGGCTCGAGCGGGCCCGCCTTCCCAAGTCGGCGGCAGTTCTCTCTCATTTGACCTCACTGACGTCCTCCC